TTTTTTTTTTTTTTGCAGTTTTTGGCCAGGGCTGGGTTTGAACCCACTACCTCCAGCATATGGGGCCGGTGCCCTACCCTTTTGAGCCACAGGCGTCATTTTTTGAACCTTTTAAAAAGGATTTTTATATCCATAATGATAAAAAAGAATCACCTAAATTTTCTTACATTATCTTGCTTTTTGTTTTTAAAAATAAAAATCACATTTATTTCATCAAATGAATTAGTGTCTTACTATCATTTTCTATATTGTGGAAGTGTATGGAAATGATTTGTTCTATAACAGTTTTAAAAAGTCTCAGAAAAGCTCTCACAAGCAAATGCTATTTTAATTGGTTATATTTTGACAGCTTATGAATTCTATTTTATAACCCATATGGATATATTTTCTTTAAAATGTCGATTTTATAATATTACTTTTTTTTTTAGGGCTAATTACAATTTATTCTTTCTTTTCATCCACCATCCACTATTCCTATTATATGCCCAGGCCCACCCAATGCAGCCTTATGTTCAGTCTGTGCTCACAGAGGCACACAGTTCCACTGGTCCCAGCCTCCTGCGATGGGGATATAATGCAGATTCTGAGCTCTTTTGTGTATAGCTTTGTTGTTGTTGTCTACATGAGAATAGAGGGGAAAGCCAAGTCTGTTCATTGTCCAACTCTGGAAATAGGCCGTGTAGGACATTAAGCTATGGAGCTGGTACTCTGGCATGGTGCCTGCCATCCGCATCTCTCCAGTCTGGTCCATTAGGCTCCAGGACACGGGGGTCCCCTCAGGCCCCAGACAGAAGCTGAGGAAGGCCTGGATACAGGGCTCAATAAATCTCTGGTTTCTCTCATTGCCTCCAAAAGACCAAAACTAATTCACCAAGGTAGTATGTGTAATATCCAGGGATGAGAGTTTAAACATCTCTTGGTTGATGGGCTTGGGTTTGCTACCACTGGGTGATAAAGTCTGTGTATCCATCAGGGAAGGAGCCAGTTTCTTGGCTATCTCAGATGTTACTTGGAGAATGCATTATGTTCCTTTGAGTTTGAAAGATTTAGTGGCGGCAAGATTTTCTATCATGTCATTCAAGCTGGGCTGTGAACTTTGAATTTGTAGATGCTGCTTCCAACCGACAACTTCTGATGAACCAAGGAATTCTTAGCAGTTTGGGGGATCTCTGGAGTAGATTTGGTAAGTATTGGTATAGTGATCAAGGTCATCTATCATATCCTGTTCCTGAGGGCGGACAACCAGTGTACTTAAAATCAGGCCACTTGTCCACCAGGGCCTTTAGCTTGAATGGGTTTCCCTGTCTTATGTGAAAGACAGTCCCACAAACTTTTATGGACTCAGGGAGGCTCTACCTCAAGGCTTCCTTCAGCGTCTGCAGCACCTTGGCCCCTTGAAACAGTGACATCGTAGAGGGTCCCTTTGCCTGTGGAAACTGGCGGCGATCAACTGAAGAAATATAGAGTTAGAAGCAACGGTAAAGAAAGACAAGAGACATAGAGTAGAATTAAAAGTGGGAGCTCAGGGGTCCATTGCCCATCATGGGATTCCAGCAATGGCCTTTGTTTCTGAGACAGAGTCTTACTCTGTTGCCCTTGGTAGAGTGCTGTGGCATCACAGTTCACAGCAACCTCAAACTCTCGGGCTTAAGCAATTCTCTTGCCTCAGCCTCCCAAGTAGCTGGGACTACAAGTGCCCACCACAACACACGGCTATTTGTTTTTTGCAGTTTGGCCAGGTCCAGGTTCGAACCCTACTCACTGAGCCACAGGCACTGCCCCTACAATCTAAACGTAATGAAGTATTTTTTGTTTCCATATTTTTGACCACCACTTAATTCTATGTAAGTTGTTTATTTCTATAAAAAGCAAACCATTGAATTATGTATACATTTCCACCAGCTTTCACATACTTTGCTACTTTTCTTTTGTATATTTTGGAATTATGTTCTTTAAAGTGACTAAATTCAGGGGCTAAACTATATCTTTATTAACTATTAAAATTTCAATTGTGGTATTTATTTCACCAGATATAACATAAGCAATCATTGCTTCTTTAGTATTTGTGTTCCAGCATAAAGAAAACTTAGACTATACTTAATTTTTTTTTATCTTATGTATTTTTTTGCTTCCTATAATAGTTAGACTTAATTTTGTCTTCTATATTGGTGACCTTTCTTTTTTTTTTTTGGAGACAGAGCCTCAAGCTATCCCCCTGGGTAGAGTGCCATGGCATCACGCTCACAGCAACCTCCAACTCCTGGGCTCAAGGTTGAGCAGAAGCCATAAAAAAAGTCATAATAATCAGAATGTTATCCAACTGTGTATTGGTTACTTTATTGTAAATAATAGTGAACGGTGGTCAATAGTTTTATATTCAAAAAAATTAATACATAAGTGAATGCCTTTTCAGATCTTTCATACATATATACATATATATATGTATAGTAGTTTATTTGTAACCCAAAGTTGGAAACAATCTAATGTCCATCAACAGGTGAATGGATAAACAAGCTATGGTATCTATATTGTAAAAGATACTACTCAGCAATAAAAAGGAATGAATTGTTGCCGGGCACAGTGGCTCATGCCTGTAATCCCAGCACTGTGGGAGGATTACACACAGTGAGAGGGAGGGACTGCTCGAGCTCAGGAGTTCGAGACTCGCCTAAGTGAAAGTGAGACCCCCCAAAAAATGGAAAAACCCAGCTGGGCAACACTGTGAGCACCTGTAATCCCAGCAGCTTTGGAGGCTGGGGCAGCAGGATGCCTGCAGCCAGAGTCTGAGGTTGCAGTAAGCTCCGACGCCACTGCACTCAGCTCAGGGCACAGGGCAGAACTCTGTCTCAACAAAAAAAACCAAGGGGAGAAAAAAAAGGAATGAATTGTTGATACAGGCTACAACATGGATACATCTCAAGATAATTAAGATTGGCTCGGCGCCTGTGGCTCAAGTGGCTAAGGCGCCAGCCACATACACCTAAGGTGGTGGGTTCGAATCCCCAGCCCGG